TAAGAAATATATGCTGATAAAGCACTAAAGGAACATCTATGCGTATACCCCAAAATCCTTTCCTGCCACGATTGTAGTATAGATTCAATTGCTTCATCTGCAAGTCTTTGATCATTTGAGCAACTTTGATCGGCAAGTTACTATCCTAAAATTGATCAGAAATAAAGAAATCCATTCATCGCACTTTTGCTGAGTATTGGTTTTAAAAGCAAACAATAGCTGTGAATAATTTTATATAAGTCACAGTCAATCGACAATTGAGCAGAAATGCCAACAAATATATCATTCAGATGCATCATAATATCAAGCAATAGGTAACATTTAATATAGCAAATTTCAGTAACCTATTTATATTTTAAAAATGGCCATGATACATTGATTAATTAATCATAGATTATGTTCATTATGCATTCACGTGTGATAATTGATTAATAAAGTCCACAAGAACAAAAAGCCATTCCTAATTATTAAATACTTTAGTAAGTATAACAATTTAAGCTTATACAACACGGCGATTCAAATATTTCTAATCATGAAATGACACATAAATAACATATTATGGAAATAATCAATCCTATTGGTCCAAATATCTTGCCACATATTGAATAGCTACGCCTAGAATAACATCGGTCAGATATTAATTATCACTTATAATGCGTTGTCCTCAACAATGACAAGATAAGTTAAGTAGCAGCCAGCTCCCTTTCATTGCGCTATTGAATAGTCTATTCTTATCATGCCCTTCCTTTTAAGACCGTTAATTAATAAACAAATGTAAAAAGACCATTTTATTCATTTTCTCAACAAATTAGTTGCAGCATAAGCTATTTAGCTTGCTACTTCATAAAAAATAACGTCAAAATTCGGTTTTAGAAAGTGTTGATTGCTACTACTTTGCTATTTTATAACCATGTTGAGAGTAATTTTGGTCTCAGTAATGATGGTTCTTGCTATGAGCCCTTCCTGCTGTGCTCTTGATAAAATTGAGCTAGGAATTATTGGTTTATTTCCTAAAAGTGACCCTGAAAGCAAATTAGCAGCAGAGATGGCAGTCCAAGATATTAATAATGATCTGTCCATGCTGCCAATGGTTACATTCTTCCTTACACCTATCGAAGCTTATGTAAGTTTCAATTATGGTTTAGTAAACACAGTCCGAGCATTGATACTTTACATATTTTGCAGCATTTTTTAGTTATTTCGGTAGACATTCTAATCCTAGCCGTGATAAGAATTCCCATATGGTAACACTTACGGTGTTGTCATTTCTTAACTAACTAAAAATACTTAGAAATTATTTTAGTCTTTAAGTCTAGTTTATAAATGGTAATGTATTTGAATGGAAACAATTTGCATTTGCATTCCTTATTCGTACATTGCACCTCGAAAGTGTTAATCTAAACTATTTTCCGTCGAAATTTGATAAAATAATTATGCAAGAGTTCTCTTTGCATTGCGCTTTTCTCCAGTTGCAATAGTTACGATCAATTAATTCTGGAATCCTTAATATTAGCTCATATGGCTGTCTAACAGTATAAAAATTTGAAGTTTATATCTTGACAGAAAAGAATATTTAAGCAAAGTATCTATGGAACTTGAACACTTCTATTAAGTATACGCTAGGAAATATATTTAAGACTGTGCAACAAACATTCCTCAACGGTATCGGTTACTGATGCCAGCAACTACCAAGAAATAAATTTTTAAAATGTAAAAAGAAACGTAGACAGTTGATGATAAAATAGGACAAAAGGCGAGAAATTATTTGTTTCGGAATGATTTGTAAAACAGATACTACACTTGAGGCTGAACTACGTTAAGATGAAAGCATTTTATTCGCTATACGTAAATTGTACCAATTTTGTAGAAAGAATCTGCATTAACTTACGATAGCTATAAGATGGTAAAAATGAAGTCAATCTATCTTGGAATAGATAATGATAAATTGAGAAATAGAGCTTGGGTAATGGAAAAAATCTATAAGTGGTTTAATAGGAAGTCTAACTTAGAAATAACTTCATCTTGTCAACTATCATCATTTTTATGAGATCTACCAAGTAATGATACAGTATAGAGTTAATTTATAGTCTTTAAGAAAGAAGTAGGAAGTAAATAGAATTTGAATAAATCATACCTAATACACTAAGAAATGAACAAAGTGACTAAATAGTAAGAAAGTCATTTATCTTCTGAGGCTTCTTATTTTTGGCCGATATTACTCAGAGATAATTGAGATTTTCAGTATATTTCCCAAGGATTGTTATGAGAATATTCAACTATTGCTATATTCCTATTAACAAAAAACAGTCTACTTCTTTTACATGGGAATTCAACATCTTTCAGCATTTAAAGAACTTTCGATAAAGGATAAAAGTACTTTAGATTATGATTTGTTAGTTTACTCGTTCTCAAGGTAAATAATAGAAAATCGGAAAATAGACCACATTGAAATTAAATTGTGTCCAAGACTAAAATTTTCTTAACCATCATAATGTTTATCATGCTGTCTCTGATAATTTAATCGATGCTACGTTCGCTAATGTGCCTTGCACATTTTAGAATCGTTGCTAAGATCTTAAATTGGAATTATCAAGACAACGTGAAACAATTAGGTCATAACTAAAATTGGATATTTATCGCCATTAATCGTATAACTTCCTTTTTTTAATCATCCTGTATTTCCATGGGCTAATGCCAAAATGTGTCACAACGTTATTAGAATTACAAGCTACAACATGCCAATACAATTATAAAATAGTTTAATTTCATTCTTGACCAGAAGCTACCTACTCTACTTTCTTTGACTACCGTAACAGTAGCATTTCTATTCTATTCCTCTAATTGAATTTGGATTGTTTAATCATACTCGTATATCAATAGTAATTCATATTACAATAAGACGATAAAAGTGATATGTAGACACTGATTAGTGTGTCAATAAATCCAAAAAAGAAATTCAATTACATCTGTTATAGCATCTATTAAGTTGAATAGTCAAAAAGCTGGTTGCTTTTAAATATAACATGATCCAAGATGGAATTTGTTCTGACTTCACACCTGTCATTTAGTATTTG